AATATTCCCAATGTAAGGGCTGCTCGAAAGGTGCAAGCACCGACTTGCCCTGGTAAAAGCCGAACTCTCTTTGGTCCTTTACAATGCAGAAATCTTCACTCACGTCCCTCACAGTTATGAATAGGTGCTCCATTGTGATCTTCTAGACGTCAACAACTACAACTATTTTAATGGAGTCCGAATTTTCTATCAACGACCTACCAAGTACCAACAGCACCAAGTTGAGACACGCTTTCATCCTTCTCATGTGTCCATCCCATTTTAATTTCCTGTCTCAACATTGCCAAAACCCTACCGTCCGGATCTCTCCTCTCATCTTTGCTCCGCTGGTGGCAACCATTCTCACCACCTCACCAGCAACGGTGACTCAAGCAGTGGGAATTGTAGCACCACTCGGGGCTTGTTTTAGTTCTATACAGCAATAATATGGGGGATGTTTGGAATTGTAGCCATTTTTTTAAAAAAATGGTATCACATCGGATCCATATAGCCATTTCAATAAATGTCCATATATCTTATTGTTTGGTTCATTTGATTATTAAAAAATTGGGTATGGTTCGAAAATCGGAATCCCACCAATGCATGAAACGGTTGACTGATGTGTATCCTATGCGATGCTTACCTGTCAGCATATACATGAAAAACGGTGATGAAAATCACCTTACCAAACAGTATAGTATTTGCTCACTGTCTATGTGGCAAAAACGTTTGTTTTTGTAAAAAATGAGTCTTGGAAGTATAAACATTTTTTTTTAAATCGATCCCAAAAAACACACACGCTTTCAAACACCATGATGATTGGTTGAGGATGAAGATGGGATGCAAGGAGGAACGAAATGCCTCGATGTCGATGTTGCATTGGATAGAATTTGTTGTTTTTTGGCATATACGGGACAAAATTTGTTGTGCGTATAGAAAATAGATTATTGAAATCCGTAAGAAACATCGTTGGTAACACTTGAAGTGGTTGAAATAAATTTCTTAGTGATTTATCTTTTATTGAATAACTTATCAATTCATTCTTTTATTTCTATTCATGGTATTGGACTAATTTGTTTTTTATTATTATGATGAATGAAACTGTGATTTTAGTTAATTATTTTCACATCTAGATCTAGAGCAAAGAACAAAATGGATGATTAAACATTAAGCTATGTTTGTTTGCGGTGTAAACGTAAAAGTCCATTGATGTAAAAACAATCCAGTTAGACGTGTTAGTGTAAAAGGCGAACCAGTAGATTGCCTATTTTACACTCTTCTGCGTTTGGAAGAAGAGTGTAAAACATTAATATATCTCTTATATGCGTTTGGAACAATGACTACAAATTCAGATGTAGAAGCTAATGGAACTGTACAGAACAAAGCTATAAATCTATATTAAAATTATACAGATTGGCAGAGTTCAAAATAGGAACTATAAATTCAGATATTACAAACTTACACAGATCGGCCGAAGTCAGAAGTCGATGAAAGGACTATAAATTCAGATCTAGTAACCACGATGGTAACTAGAACTTGTCGGCGATGAAGCGGAAGTATTTCTTTGGGTGTGTGTGTAAGAGAGAGAGATGGGGGAGTGGAAAGAAGAGAGGGCCGTACGATTTTTGTAACCACGATGGCAACTAGAACTTGCACACAATGAAGCAGGAGCAGTTTAGGGCTGTTTACGGGTCAAGTTGGGTCAGTTTACTGAGGTTTTTCCAACCAACCCGACCTGGTCGGGTTATCTGAGATGCAAATTGAAACTGACTCAGTGTTAAGCAAAATCGACCTGATCGGTTTGAGTTGGTTTGGGTCGGTTTTGGCTCTAAGTTCATCTATGCCCCCCATGGCCACCTAGTTTTCTGGAAATATATTTAAAACTGAAATATGTATTTAAAAAAAAAAAATATATATATATATATATAAACAAAAATATACATACAAATATATTGGAATATATATTTTCTAGAAATATATATCTGACATATTTCATAATATATATTTTTTAGATATAGATATTGGAATATATATTTTCAGATATTTCAGTTTTTAGTTAAGTAGGAACTAAGTCGATTCGGTTCAGATCGGTTTCGGTTTTCACACAAAAAAACTGAAACCGACCCGAACCATCAGTTTATGAATTTGTACAACCCAAAACCAACCGGTGCTGATGAAAACCTGGTCAACTCGGATTGGATCGGTCCGGGTTGGTCAGTTTGGTCGGGTTGGGCCTTCTTATGAACAGCCCTAGAGCAGTTCTTCAATGTGTGTGTGTGAGAGAGAGAGAGAGAAAGAGAGGGAGAGTAAGTGAAAAGAAGAGAGAATCATACGGTGTTTGTAACCACAATGGTAATTGGAACTCATCGGCAATGAAGTGGGACCTGTTCTTCAATGGAGGTGAAGAAGTGGAAAAAGAAACGTTATTACTTTTCACTTTTTTACACTAATGGAGAGTTTGCACAACTTTTACATCGGTTTTTTCGATGTAAAAATAGATTTAAATGATGATTTACATCGATAATGAATCTTTATTTGCATCCCATCTAAACACATACAAAAGTGGACCACGGTATAAAATTACATCGAAACAGATTTTATACCGCTTCCAAACACAACCTTAGTAGTGCATGTTCTGAACACAAAATGAGGGAGAGGAAGAATTCCTAATCGTAAGCATGCAATGAGGGAGTTCAAATGATCCTTGAGTTGTAGAAACTGTCTCTAATGTCTAATAATTTTTTGTTTATATAAGGTGTGATTCTTCCATGTGTAGAAACCATTATGCATATCAGGTCGTTTGCCATAGGTAAGTGGTTGAAGTTCTCTATTTTTTATTCAGCCTTTTATTCTCTTTATCTTTGATTTAATTTTTTTACTCATTTTTTGTATAAATCAAATTGTGTGCCAGATTTCACAGGCAAGTGATTCAATATTAAAAATTTTGAGTTCATATTTTGTTTTTATACATTGTTTGTGATTGATTCAATATTTAGTAGTGTGAACTGTGAAGTCTATTTGTAATCGGTTCAAAGATTTTAGTTGTGAAGTCCAAGTTCTCTCTGTGTTTGATTCATTTTTTAAGTTAATTCGTAAATTTAATACAAATTTAAAAAAATTGAGTTAAGTTAATAAAAATATATAAATAAAATATTTAACAAAAAATGAAACCCACTTAAAAATAAATAGCATTAATAATTTTTTAAATTATTTAATAAAAGCATTATAAAGCAAAGTAAATTCATTGCTCTTACTCAGGGAATCAAGGTTTTACTTAATTGGAAATATGTCATAGGTCAACTTCTACTTTAATTAGTGCTTTATGAAATTAGAAAAATATAGCAACAACATAAGGCATATAAATCTCAAACAATCAGACTCGTTAAAAAAAAGAAAAAAAAAACATTCGGAATTGGCTTATCAATAACATGACAATTCTAGAGATCAGGAGCCCCATTTAATCAATGGTTCGAATTGGACATGGCACATCTGTGTACTACACTCTATTTATGGAGTATGTCATTGATACCAATCCAATCTAGTAAGAGACTAATACGTCCCACACATGAGTGAAAGCTTTTAGACAAATGCGATTTGGGTTTCAGTAACAGGTCATATTGACCCTCGTTTTATGCTTCATATGGGTCATTCATAACCCAATGGTCTCTAATTACTTCACCCATATTTGCCAAAACAGACATGAGTTTCAGGTCTTTACAACACCAAAATACTCAACTTATACAGTACAGGAGATGAGAAACTGAGTCTGGATCTCCTGCACAGGCCGTTCTATACAACTTTCTGTACATCAAACATATCATGACACATTAGCAACACACATTATGAGTATTGCACATGTGCGACCAATTTAACGGATGTCTCAAGATGTTTGTTTCATTTATTTAATTATTTTAGAAATTTAGTCATAAAAAAAATAAGTTTTGACCATCTAGCCCATCCGTGAGAAACAAATTTGGTGGAGGATAATAAGAGTCATCTTTTTAATGTTTTCACAGGCAAACCCTTTTTCCTCACCAGCACTACCCTTTTTGTTTCCTATCGGACATGTGACATAAAAATTCTTTCCAATGAGACATTGTGATTTCAATTTCAAATTCAACCATTCCATGTAATTTACTGAAACATGAAGCTGATTCCTTTTAAAAGTTTTATTAAGCGGGTGTTCTCTATTCTGCCAGACTGCCACCACCCACCGTATTATGGCTTTCTGTATTAATTTCCACAACCCCACAACACATGGTTGGTGAATTGGAGGATTCTCAAATCCTCATTCCATTCTGTTTCTTAGAACCACCGTTCTACCACCATAAACTTTTTTGATATTTCCAAACATAAAAAAATAAAAAATAAATAAAAGAACCATCTTAATTTGCATTTTAAAAATTAAAGATAAAAAAAGAAAATATAATAACTTTGTAGAAAGAATAAAAAAATCAATATCAACCTCACTATCAAATCAAAATGCTTGTACATAAACAAATTGGTACTCCTAAGTTCTTTTCCATTGTGCAAAATTGTAGGTCTACAAATCTAATCTAATTATTATTTATGAATTTTACTTCTATCTCCGTAGAGAGAGCGGTGACAAATGAGAGACCAATTGAGAAAATAAAAGAAAGTCTTCAACCAGATGAAATTGGACTAGGCCTGAGGAGGGAGGGGTTGGGAGGTGGTAAGACAGTGTAGCATCTGTTGGACGGAGGATAAACTGTTCCTCGTATGGCACCATTACCCAGTGGAGGAGAGGTAATAACTATTGAAACTGGTGGTACCGGCAGAGTAGAAGACGGTGGTACCAATGGAGGCAGGGAGGGAATTGGGAAAAAGATAGGATTTATGGAAACCCCTCACCCTCACGTCTCTTCTGGGTAAATGATAAATCTGTTTACACTGTTCTGTCTTTCTTTCTCATTTAATTTTTAATGTTTAATAGGAAAAGGGCCAAAAGGGTGTTTGAGGTCCGTCAACATTCTTTGCACGTACGACATTTGCACATGATATGGAATCCTGTGATTTGATGTTCAGGATCAAGCTCATGATAATTTATAAATCTACATTACATAAATCCAAGCTCGGTCATATGCAACTCTTAAAAATGATCTCCACCATTCTATGAAGCCCATTAACATGAATCAAGATCAAGCTCATGATAATGATGATGAGATTTGAACTACTTTAACTGGTATAATAAACAAACATTTTATCTTCAGGATTTCAGGCTTCAGTCTAAGCAGAACCTCCACCGTTCACAAAGGGCCCGGGGTATATAAGAGAACTGTTCTTCCATTTTGTTGTTGAGTAGGCCTTGCATTTTGTTCAAAACCCTGAGCAAAGAAATTAATAGCATTAAAATCCAATGTTGATAACCAGCATATAAGAAAATAAACTAAAAAGCCACTTAATGGTAAGTACAAATGTTTTTGTCACAATAAAATTCTAAAATTATGGGCCATTACTTGGTGCAATCGGGCTGGCAAGTGATAGAACCAACATTGGGTAATGGCCTTTTTAATAAATTCCAAAATTCAAATATTGAAACATTTATCAGATCTCTATCATTCTTATTTTTGCCTTCATTACTGGTTTTCTTATCAAGTATTAAATTATAATGCATCTGTATTACTATTATCTCCTATTGCCAAGGTTTTAAATACAAATTTGGATTTGCCCCTCACAGCACTTTGCATCTGCAGGTTGGGAACATCTCCCCATGAATAACATTCTACAAGTACAGGAGATGTTCCCGATGTGCAGCTGCAAATGCAGCGAGGTTGGTGTGAAGAGTGCTCTGTGAGAAGCAAATCCAGACTCTTCAAATACCAAGACCAATACACATAAACCTTGCATATCAGGTTTATTTAGGTATGGGGGTGCTACCAGAACAATACAATACGCCCAGTACATCCTGATACAATGATCCATGACGAAATTTTGAACCTTGCCTAGTACTTATAGGAGAAAGGACTTATCAGAGATGAAAATAGTTGATATGCAGAGACCACCAAAACCCCCATGTCTCATCCAAATGATGCACCCGATGTGCGGCTGCAAATGCTGTGAGGTTGGTGTGAAGAGTGCTCTGTGAGAAGCAAATCCAGACTCTTCAAATACGAAGACCAATACGCATGAACCTTGCATATCAGGTTTATTTAGGTACGGGGGTGCTACCAGAACAATACAATACGCCCAATACTGATACAATGATCCATGACGAAATTTTGAACCTTGCCTAGTACTTATAGGAGAAAGGACTAATCAGAGATGAAAACAATTGATACACAGAGACCACCAAAACCCCTATGTCTCATCCAAATGATGCACCATTTGATTCTGACCACCGGGCTTTCAGTTAGTTTTCATCGGGCTTTAAGAAACTTACATCATGAACAGCATCCCTGATAGCCCTCACTTGCTCCTCTGAAGCTGTTCTCACCTACAAAATCAAAAGGGTATTTAGTGGCCTGTGATGGACACTTGATGAAAAGAAAAAGTTGTAGACACCAGTACCTTCTTCACCATAGTCCAAATAACTCCCTCTGTGCATGGTGGAACAGTAAGTGATCCCATATATCTGTAATATTTTCTGCTCCCAAATTTAATATCACCAGGATTAATGATCCCCACATCATTCTCTACTGATCCAACTGACCCAAAGTAAGGGATAAGCTGCAGGAGTAAAAAAAAGACATTTCAAGTGAAGGGAAAAATCAAAATAGCAGATCCCCTTATCCAAAAACAGCATTTCCTACAAGGTTTAATTGAAAGATAGGCCATTGAGGATGACTTCTAACATATGAAACATTCAAAACCCACAAACAGGACTTCATTAGTTGGGACAAGGTTTAGATGAGTTTATTAAATAATATAATAAAAAGTATTGCTGGCTTGAGTTAGTACCATCTACCATGTGACACCACTAGAACAGGACTTCATTATTCCTCCCTTCAATCTTAAATAAACAAGGTTTGATAATGTCATGTCTCATTCAAGTCAACTGTAGTAGTTTGCCAACTGCATCACCACTTAAATACACGGAATCTAATGTGCCTTTGTATGTAGAAGTGTATGAAGCCAACCCAAGTATGTGTGGATGTTTGCAAGGAAGCAAATAAACTAAAAGAAGCTACACCTCAGACCTCACTACTTACCCTCGCAAGGAACGGATCATGTCTTCCATATTTGTAAGTAATTCCAATAACAGCAATCCTCCCAGATGAATTAATATGAACCAAGTGTAACTCCAGGTTGTATCTGCAAGAGAAAATACAATGGAGACAACTTGGGCACATGTCTCATTTAAAGAAAACTCAAAAATAGAGAAGAAACAGGAAAACAGAATCTTGGATATAACTTATTTTAATTAATAAACAAAATCAGAGATAATAAAATAAAGTAAAAGAAAGGAATCCACCTTGACTTATTGAAGGTGTGCTCAGAAGGTGAATGCCAGTGACACTGCTTCAGGTAGTAATCTGTCCGATTTATATTGATTTTCCCTGCATCTCCTTTCCATTCAATCTGAACATAATAATTTACCTCAATAATGAATGATTCATCAAAGAAAAGTTACCAAAAATAATAATACATCAACGAAAGAAAAGGGTTATTTATCTGTGTATGTTAATCATCTCTGTTGGTTTAACATGCTTAATCTAATGGCCCAAAAACCGTTGAATTGGTCAACAACCTGTTGACCCAAGCAATCAAACCGTCGACCCATTTAACCCATTCAATAATTTTTGACCATTTTTATTATTTCAAATAGTTTTTTATAATTTTTTAATTTTGTTGTTAAAACGGGTCGTTCTTTCAAACTTAACAGTCGAACCATTAACTTGAGAACCAGTGGCTAGAACGGTTCTGATTCTGGGTCATTTTTCAAAACATTGTTTTTTATTATGTATAAGGATGCAAACGAATCGGATCGAATTAAAATTAGGGTATATTCTAATCCAATCCTACATTGTTCATGGTAGATCCAATCCAATCCGAAGATCCGACCGGATCTGCTAGGTAGGGATCTGAATTCGAATCCGATTGGGAAATCGGATCTTCGAATTTGATCCGATCCATTCCGATATGTTTTCTTTAAAAATTAGTAAATTATAAAAAGAAAAAATATACCAATTTAAATAAAGAAAAACAAAAAAATACAAGTATTTTTTAATTATTTTCATCATATATATACATGTTTTTTATAAAAAATAAATAATATAACAAATTTACAAAAATACAATATAAATAATATATTTATTAATAAGTAAATAACATGCATATATGCATTATATGTATATTTATATAAATAAATATATAATGTAGATCGGATCAAATCTTCTCGAATCAGATAGAGGGTGATCCAAATCTGATCCGAAGATCCCAAACAGGGGTGATCCGAATTCAGCCAGATAGGATTGGAACTCGGATCGGATCATGATCTGATCCATTTGCACCCCTAATTATGTATATTATTACAAAATAAAGTATTACTTCTTTCGTGTTATATAATATTTAATGTTATGTACATTTTTTAATGTGTATATGTTATTAATTTTTAATTAAATATGTATATATTTTATGAATTATTATTTTTATATAAAATTAGTACTCTTGGCAACCTAATATTTTTTTTTATTTTTATAAAATAAAATATTGTTTTTCCTTATTAACACCCAAAAATCCAAGGCCCATCCAACATTCAATCCGATTATCTTGGATTTGGATGATGTATTTATGTAATCAGATCGGATTCAAATTTGACCCCATCCATATATGATTATATTGTAATATTTATTAATTTTAATATATAATTATACTTAAAATTATAAATATATATTTTATAATATTATATTATATATGAATTTATATATAATAAATTTAGTATGTTATATTTACATTAATTTATTATATATAGAAGTTGAAAATAATTAAATTTTTAAAATTTCTGGTATTTTAAAAATTTAAAGCAGAGTCGAGTTAAATCCGAATCCGATCTGAGTCTGTTAGGATTCGAATTCAAATATGAACCTTTAAATCCTGTCAGATTAAGATGCAGGTTTTCAATAATCAGATAGGATGCATCGGATTGAAGTCGAATCTGATTACAACCCTACATACTGTAAGTGAGATGCATGTTATCAAAACACATGGTGTGGACTGAAATGAACCACACCTTGTAGAATGCCTATAGGGTGTAGTGTGGTTCAATCCACACTTCTTTGTCTACAGTTAAAAACAACTAAGTCGTTAGGGTGTGATGTGGATGAAAATAAACCACCCAATTTCTCATCTACGTTAACACCCCCTTATTGGCTAGTAACCAATGGCCGTGGGGGTGGGGGCACAGCGATCAGCTTGTTAGGGCCTAATTAGGCTCACTGATCCAAATCCATGAGCACATGCATTGGATAGATTTAAGAGATTGCAGTAGTTTCCAATGTTGTTTCATATAAAGAATCATTAATTCTAAAGAGAAAATAAAGTTGTAAAAGCATAAATTGTTCAACTTTTTACTTACCATAATGTCATGACCCCTGTTCATCACTGCAGCAGGGGCTGGTCGGTAATCCCTCTTCAATTTTCCTAAACCAGAAACTACTTCCACTCTCTTGTCCAGAAGATCAATGGGAGATTGCATTTCTCCATTTCCACAAACTCTCCAATGTGGGTCGATCTCTCCCCAATGCTCCGGTCCTTTCTCACTCCCTTCCTCATAAGTAAACTCATGTTCATCCTCTGCAATTTTTTCAGTCATTCATTAAAATTTCTCCCAAAGGAAAGAGATGTAGAAAATAAGTGAAAGGTGGATAGAAACAGCATGAAAGAAGTGAAACAAGAATCTGGGTATTGTTTTGTTTCGATTCCCGAGATCGTTGGGAGGGTTTGCATTAAGAAATCCAGTTCAGAGGTAACCACATTTCGGATTGGGCAAGAAACAAAAGACACCACTGCATTTCCGGATGGGGTAGGATGATGAAATCACGAGTAAATTTACAAAATGAGAAATCTGTATAGGAAACATATCTCAGCAACATGGAATGAAGAGTAGAAAAAACGGGTAGCTTTCAAGGGAAAACCGAATTTGCAGAAGAGGAGTGGTTGAGCTGCAGACAAGATTACAACCCCTTGAATGCTACCAGTTTGAACAAAACATAGAAACAGTATGAGCCGAAAATGGCACAGAAAAAGAGTTTCTGTCGAAGATGCCTGTGGAGAGGACATTACCCAACTCAGATGCAGCAGCTCTGGTAGTGATTGGAAGGGAAGAGAGAAGGAGAGAGGTAAGGAGGACAAGGAGAAGGTTGGTTTGGGTGGCCATGCCTTGATGGTTTCCACTTTTCAGTCTCTTGAAGAAGAATGCAAGTGAGAGAGTCGACAAGAGTACCGATTAAAGGGGAGCAGATGGACGCAACCTTGAAGTTGGAAGACCTTTCGGCATCTCTTCTTCCCTTTGTTGAGCTGTTTCTTTACGAAAATTAATAAAACTTATGGTAAATTGCATATTAGTACTTTGTATTTTGATTAATCTCAATTGAGTACCCGAATTTCAAAACTACCATCGCACACCACTTGAACTCTCAAAAATGACCAGTTTAGTCCAAAATCGTTAACTGAATGATATGTGAAAGGACACAAATATCATTTAGATAGAAAAGCATGATTTTGAAATTTCCAAAAACTATATTTATATCTCTTTTTACTGCAATTGGGCACCATTACTCACTTTATGCCCTTATACCAAAGAACCATTCCATTCGGTTCCAGACCTCTATTCCGGTAAACCAAACGGGGCCTAAGTCCCACGTATCATCACACGATACAAACAACTGATCGATCGCTAACCGCAGGTATTAAATTGGCAGTTTTTGTATTTAAATATTACAATGACACATTTTAAAGTTTAAATATTAAAGTGAGACTGGGTAGTAATTTGCAATTTATCCTACAAATTAATCATGTTTTATAAAAATTTCAAAATTATAAAACAAACTGACAAAAATAACCTCTAACAATTCATTAAAGACTAAAGATTTTTTTTTTTTTTGAATAAATAGTACTTTTGATCCCCTACAACAAAAATACATGCATTTGGATAGTTGACATTATGCCCAGTCAAGGCCTTGATTGTCATAGTCGATTTACCTATTGGGCTTATGGGTCATGTGTCCCCATGTCTATTGTCTATCCTTTTATTTCTCTTTTTTCTCTTTTATTTCTCTAAATCACTTTCAAATAAACTTATTCATGGGCCGGATAACTCGGCCCAGCCTGTTTTATTTTGAGGTCCATGGGTTTGGTCTCAGGTTGTAAGTATCAGGCCCGATTAAAGCCAACTCATCAAACAACTCTCCCAATCAACTGCAGCCCAATATCTCAGCATGCATCAAAAGTTTCTTCAGTTGATGTCATCCAATCTCAAGCTTTTTAATTGAATAATCTTCATCATTATCATCTAAGCCTTTTAGCAATCATATGAGGTGGTGGGATCAATGTTCTAAAGACTGACTTAGAACTGGAACAGCTTTAGCAATTGATTTTCGAGTCAGTACTTCAACCATCTAGTCCGAATGGATCAGCCCGTGATAATTTAAAAGTTATAAAATAAAAAAGATAATTGAAATAAAAAACCATCCAAAAAACATTATCCAGGTCGAATGGGTTTACAGTTTAATCGCCCGCAGTGGATTATTGATCAAGTCAACGGTATTTGGGCAAAAAGCAGCTTGGGGTAAAAATAGAACCGGTCTCAACTGTTTTTTGGGTCAAACGGTCTGACCATCCGAGTCAATAACAGTTGGAAAACCATGGGTGGGATACATAAATCTTGTTTTGCCAATCCATTTTGTTTAGTGAGACACCCATTGTTAAATTTAAGTGCTTAGGTCATTTCTTACTACTTTAACCCTTGCCCTCTATGAATTTTGTTTTGCCATTCCATTTTGTTTAGTGAAACATCCATTGTTAAATTCAAGTGCTTAGGTCATTTCTTACTGCTTTAAACCTTGTCCTTTTTGGTCTACTGTGAGCCTTTTTAACTCTTTCAACTTTTGCTTTTTCTTGCGGGAACTATAGGTCATTTATGCATGAATTAAAAGCTACATTGGATTGTATATTGCCATTAATCTCCTTTTTACTTTTTCAGTTTTAGATGATCACCCTTAATGTTGTGTTTGGTTACAATACAAATAAATTTGCACTGATGCAAAATCAAGGAAGTGCAAATGATTTGAATGTAAATTTTGACCTATTTTTATTTTAAATTTTAGTTTATTTTGTTTGATTACAATACAAATGAAGTAAATTAAGACATAAAGCAGAATAAGGTAAAACAAAACATAATTAAATGAAAATTTGCATTTTTTTTATTTGCACTCGTTTACATTTATACTAATACAAATAAAATTGCACTGCAACCAAAACACAGCCTAATATCCAAATATTGCAATCAAGTGCCACTGATGGGTTGTACACTACAAATTGTACATATGATGTAGCGTCTAGTGGGTAACATATGAGAAGTAGAGATTCGTAAGAATTTAAGAGATCCGAAATGGACCAACGGATATGTAAAACACAGATTTAAATTCAATTCACTTACATATTCACATACCTAATTCAAATATGAATGTCAATAAGTTTGCATAAGTTAGTAAAAATTAATAAAGTTAACTATAAAAACTCTATTTTAAAGATGAAAAATTAGGGTTATCTGAATCCCAAATCCCACTACCATTGCCAGCAATTCTACTCACTATATGGGTTAAAAACACAAGGGGCCAATGTTTTCAATTCGCGGTTAATCTGGATGGTTGAACCATTTGAATTGCACATTTTCAGTTTCAGATTTCCTAAAACTCAGAAATTGACTAAAATATGTTGATTTTTTCAAAACATGTTCACCGTAGGCGATTGATTTGTTGATCTATTGGGCCCGATCATTGGATCACAAGTTACAACTCAAATTATATCAACAACTTCTAGAGGCCATAACTTTGAGCTTGGTTGTTTGATTGAGGTGATCTTTTTTTTATTATTATTTTGCTAAACTTTTTGAGATCTATGCATTTAACACTTTGTCCTGCTAGTTTTGTCAAAAAAAACACCATTTTTTATCTCAAATCCTCATTTTTATGTTTTTTATTTATAAAAAGGTTATAAGTATAAATATAAATATAAGTTAGACATAAAAATGCATATCTTACATGTAGAATACATTATTTATTATGTATAATATATGTATACATGTATATTGATGACTCACGATTGACCAAACCGATCCAAACAGTCGAACCATTGACCCATGACCCATAGGTAAAAATGGTTCAGCCTACTGGTTGGGTTTTAAAGCGCTGCAGGGGGCTCTATATCAGACTTATATGGTGCATATTACACATTATTGCAGGGGGAATAAGGGGTGGGGACAAAAAAAAAGAGTGCACTTGAGGTCCAATGACCTTATCATGGAGAACTTGAAAGCTGCGGTTATATGCGAATTTGATATTGCACCTTCATATTTGGAGGGAGACCAAGTGACCATCTCAGCTACTAAAGTCATCAATTAGATTGGTATAATTCCATAGGGGATTTGGACGAAATACACTTCCATCACATGACCCAGCATATGTAGTGTGCGACCCATATGAGCATGAATTTGATAGAGAGAGAAGCCTTGTTTTAAACAAATGCTATACAAAGTTGGAACAAAGCTTCTCCATTTTACTGGATTGGCTTTTATTTTTCTTATTTTAAACCTTTATAAATTAGAACAAAGCTTCTCCATTTTATTGGATTTACTTTTCTTTTTCTTATCTTGAACCTTAGAACAAAGCTTCTCCATTATTGTATCCATCAACAATGCACATTCTTCAATCAGTAATCGCTTGTGTGGATATAGTTTATTTTAGGGAGAGGTGCCAAATCTTTATAATTATGTTTTTTTCTTCCTTTTTTGCGTCAAAAAGAAAAAAGCCGAAGACAACAATAAGGGTTTTTCCTTTAATTTAAAAGGGTAAATTACTTAATCCTCCACTAAAATTGTTGATGGTTACTGAAACCTCCACTGGAATTTGATAAATTTGGTAAGTGCAATCACACCTCTAAATTTTATGACACATTGCAAGTAGACCCCTATTAGAATCCTCTAACAAAAGGCCTGAAAATATCCAAAATACTCATGCAAGTACTATTGAAGCTAATTTTTACAGAAAAAAAAAACAATACAAATTTTATAAATAACACAAAAATAGTGATTGATATGAAGGAAAAATTTAGAAAATAATTTAATTCAGAGAAGAGATTGAAAAGGTTTGGGCCAGTGATTCATATGGGGAGAAAATTTGGAAAGTAAACATTTTGGTGAAAATTAACTATATGAGTATTTTGGGCATTTCCGTGTCTCTTGTAGAGGATTCTAACAACTACCCACAATTATGTCAGAAAATTCAGGGAAAATGACTGTAATTACCAAATTCTAGAGGAGATTTCAGCAATTTACCCTAATTTAAAAGCAGATTTTGTGAGTTCAAAGATGCCAAGACCCAAAAGCCTTCCCCCACTAATGTTGTCTGGTGGGTACATCAAAACAACTGGACAAAGGATGTTGTCTCCTACACAGATGCTTTCCCTCGATACAACCAAGTTAAGATGACTCAGAAAACTTGCACAAAATTGTTTCTTTTCTTCTTCCTTGCAAGAACCAATCCTACGTTATTTCAACTGCTTGTGAAAGAAGTGCAAAACATGGATGGTGGTGGGTATAGTGCTGGAGTGTATGGATGAAATTGGTCCAATTCAGAGGAAGGTTCAGACTTGTCCAGAGTTTAATTTGCCGGACATGAGTTGTGTTGTAGTCATTAATATTCTCAATGTGTAGCTAGATGGACGTGGCCAACAATGTATTGTGGTCAGTAAATCCAAACTCGATACAAATAGCTAAGACATCAAAGGGATTCAAATGTCCTGATCACGAAACACTGCCTGACCAGAACCGGTTCTAGTTCTGACCACTGGTTTCTTGGTCAATGGTTTCATTGTCCGGTTGGAATGGACAGCCTGTTTTGACAAAAAAAATAAATTTTTTAAAATAAAAAATGGCCAAAAACCGTTGAACGGATCGATTGTTAGACCGCCCAGGTCAATAGGTTATATAACATAGAGATATCTCACCATGAATTATAACATAGAGTAAAAGAGAGATGTTCCCAATGTACGATTTTAGGGTTTTGTGACCAGCATTTGGTGGTTAGAAGATCCCAACTCCACCATCAAACGTTAATATATTCACCATGGTAGATAGATATCTTTGGATATCTTCCAAACTCTTGAACAGTGTAATCTGAATGAGAAGGGAGTTGTATCTATAACTTGAAATTCATAGTGTGTCCATAGGATTTTTCAAAATGGATGGCAAAGTGGGGCTCAAGTCTGGACTA